CTCCCAGAAGGCCATGGAGGAGCTGCTAGAGATCCTGCTGACCGACCAAAACATAAATGAGAAGGACAGACGAAAGAAGCTAAAGCAGGTAACTGAGACTGAAACAATGAATCAATTAATCGTGAATAACCGATTACTGAAATAAACATCTAATTTAGCAATTGATTAATTGTTAACTGGAGCTTGGATACTTTAAAACATGACATTAGTTATAAAAGTCACCAATATTGGGTGTGCAGATGGCCCATTGGTTAGTGTGCACAACCCGTGGGTGACCCGGGTTCGAATCTGGCCTGTTCTCCTTTGCCCAACGTCTCTCGCCTTCTCTCATACCCCCTTTCCTGTCAGCCTACTGTCAGAAAAACGAGCCACTAGTGATGTTAAAACTCAAAAAAAAAAAGTAACCAACATAGAGCAGAAATTGTACCATAATTATATAAAAGTTTTTAGGCATATTGGTTTTTAGATTTTTAAAAAAGTGTCATGTCCTATCTAGAACTTGAACTCTAAATTCTTTGTAATATCTTCTTTAAGGAACTAGCATCCAGAATATTTCCATTTTCCTCTCAGTTTATTTCTCTAAGCTCTTGGATTAGCTAGAAGACCAAAATACTGATGATCAAATGTCCACTTGAAGTATTTTCTCCATTGTCTCTGTAGATAGGTTGATAAACCTGACCCAAGATTTTCATATCTCCCTTTTCACATTGCTTATTAATAATTACTCTAGTTACTCTGAGGAGCTTCAGTTTTATAAATACAGGTTTATGATATAATTTTATTTTATATTTATTTCAATTCCAGGCAACATATTTTTTTTATTTATTATTATTTGAGATTAAAAGGATAAAATCCCTAAGACTTAGAAGCTCAAATTAAAGGAATATGTATATATATATATATATATATATATATAATTAGTTATTGTACATTTCACTTTTGGATAATCATCAATACTTTTAACTGAGAGGGGTACTCATGGTAAGACAAAATACCTAAAGGGGTACGCAAGTCAAGAAAGGTTTCGAAAACACTGGTTTAGAGAGCTGTAGCCGAGCAGTTTCTACAGAAATTTGTTGGAAGGAAAAGTCTGTCAGGAAATGTTATAACAGAGACATTTTCAGTTTCAAGATGATTGTCATCATTCTGTCTCTTTCTATTGTCTCTGTTTTAGTTTCAGAAGCAGTACCCGGACATCTACAGGCGTCGATTCCCTTCCCCTGCTGAACAGGGACAAACGGAAAATAAGCCAAAGATCAAACCTCCTCTGCTCAATATCAAGAAAGCCAAAACATTCAGCATCAGGAACTGAAACATCTTGGATGCTCTCCTGTTGGTCAAATCATGTCGGCTGCACTGATCTTTTTTTGAACGGCGACACCTGTAGGAATAAAACTGTTACATTAGACGTGCAAATATTCCATTAATATCTGTTTTTTTTTATGTTAGTACATGCTGTAGTTGGAGGTTTTATCAAACATTAAACAAATACAACAATATTGCCATCTTGGATAAACGCAGCTGGATAGATTAAGAGTTCTCTGGTTTTTTGGGGTTTTTTTGTAGGTTCCTAGTTTTCTTTTAGATAAGTGGCTGTGCAAACTACATATAGAGCAATTTGGGACTAAACTATGCAGGATCACTGGTCAGCATATGAATAATTTTATGATAAAGTAATTTGAATGAATTACATTGGGAGCTGCTCCACTTCTGTAACCATCTCTTGAGATGTTTAGAAAATACTTTGCTTTTATTTGAGATGTTAAAACTCCTTTTTATCCCACATTTATTCACGGGTTCCTTTTAAAGCCTTTCATGGAGATTTTCTTTTTGTTTTTGTTTTTTGTTGTTTGTTTCCTGCTTTCCCTGTAATTCCTTGATTCCCTGATTCTATTGGTTTATATCTACCTTGTATGCAGGTTAGAAAACGTTTTGCACTAAGTTTTAAAGAAAAACTGACAGCTGCCAATTTTTTTTTTTTTTTTTTTTTTTTTTTTTTTATAATTTTTAATTGACAATTTAAGACTTTAAGTTTAATCCATTATTTGTGAAGCTAAATTTATGCTAATATATAGACCGAACACAATTATCTCCGATTAATCTGTTTTCATACTACAGGCTCACAGGTACTTGCTGTATCCATGTTCTTTCCATGTTCCTTTTTAAGTTATATTAACGAAGAAAGTAAATACTTTCATGCTATCTTTCTTTTTAAATGTGTGTTTGATACGAAGAGCTAAGTTTGTTTATACCTCAGCTGAAATGAAGATGCGTAACCACATAAAGTGTGTTATTTTTTTTTCTGTCAAATGCTTGACATAGGAGTGTAGATGCACCTCTAACTGTTTACTATGCAACATGTTGGGAAATAAACCTGTTCTACTGTGTGACTACTGCCTGTTTTATAGGAGGATATGATAGTAAATCTGCTCATAAGACACTGCAATCTTCTCCAGCTGCAGTTTAGTTGCCTGCGTTTCAGTTATACATGCTCTTAACCAACAAATTAGATAAGTTAGGTCTGTGTACACATTAGGGGTGCAGATAAAACATTGAAATAGTACAAAGTGATTTATTTTTTCAATTGTAGAAGGATTCATACCTCTGAAACTTGTTTAAAATTTCACACATTACTTCAGCTTTTGGGCATTTATGTGTTAATGTGGTGGAGGGGGAAGCAAAACCATGCATGGTTTTCAAATATAAGTTTTACAAGCTGCATCCGTTTGTAGATATTGAATGTTTTTCCAGGTCTTTGGAATTCAGTTTAATCTTTAGATTGACCCTTCCTGAATGTTGGTTTCTAAATCTTAGAATTAATTATTCCAAAATTTCCTGACATCTCTGGCCATGTGTCTGTGCTGTATCAACATACAGCAGCTTTTCTTCCAGGATATTGATGAATTGGCTTAATTCCGCTTTACTTTCTCCACAGCATGATGCTGCCATTTTCTTGTTAGACATTTTATAGCTTAATTTTATTTCTATATGTTTTGGTTTTCCTGGTTATATTTATAACTTATTTTATATTTGTATTAATTACAATAAATGAAATCATTAATAAAACACTTAAGTCTATATTTTTTTTAATTTGTAAAATTTGGCTCTGATGACATCTTTTCACCCAGTCACTAATCAAAAGAGTAATTGGTGTTTTTGCGTATTAATCATAGATGTTGCTTTGTGCTTTAACTCAAATGTAATGTAATGTTAGCAGTTCTGATGTAGATTGTTCAGGTGAAGTTGGACTAATTGTGTTGGATACGTGCTTTCTTTAATGTTTGACAAAGTGTTTTAGCTGTCTTTCTTAAATAGAATCTAGACTTTTAATAGAGCAGCTTTGAAACTCCAAAAATTTGGCCTTTTTAACTGCAGAAACAATGTAAACATCGGCTCAGAGCCACCAGGAAGGCTACCACAGAGCAGCTGTGATTCAGCTTCATGATCCTTCCAACAGAGAGCGCTGGAGCAGAAGCCTAAGCGGGTCTCTAAAAGGTAAACAATAGCTTACCCACCTGTAGGTACTGCTTCCTGTCTGACATGATGAGCGGTGGACAAAGTACTCAACAGCAGAACATGAGTAAAAGTACTGATACAGTCAAAAGTTGCTCAACTACAAGTACTTAAAACAGCAGTCAGACATCTACTCAGGTTAAAGTGTTGAAGTATTCACTTTTGAAAATACTTGTGTTCAAAAGTAAATGGATTTAAAACTACTTAAGAATGCAAAAATACTAATTCAATTTTCTAGTATAAGTACATGTCTGTATAACATGTCTGGGTAATTTTTAAAAAGGTGGTAACTTAGAGTAAGTACCTGATGATTCTACTGCACTTTTAAAGAAATTCAGCATAAAAATGCCACAAAACTGAATTTTTGTTATTTTTTTTCAACCCATCCCTTTGGGGAGCAGTGGGCTGCCATTGTGCGGCACCTGGAGAGCAGTGTGGGGGTTAAGGGTCTTTCTCAGGGACCCAGAGTGGCAGTCCGTTGGAGTGGGGCTTGAACTCAGAACCTCTGAATCCCAAGTACAATGCTTTAACCACTAGGTCCCCACTTTCCAATGCAGGCATCAGCGTGAAGCTCATGCTGTTGCTGCAGCCACAACGCAGAGTACTAACCACTATATGATCAGTGCGAGCTAACGACTTGTTTAAGCAGGCATTCGTGTGAAGGGTCTTGCCTAAGCACCCACACTGGCAGCTCATTCCCCCCAGCTGGGATGAGAACCCAGGCTTCCTGTTTGAAGGACGGGTGATGGGTCGCCACCTAAACATGCAGGCCAGACATTTCCCAAAGCTGCATTACGGTAGTTATAGTCATCAGCTAAACTAACACCCTGAAGCTGATGTTTGATGGCTGCCCATCTCCTATATTTCATTCTGATTAGGTCAGACCAAAACCTGACAACACTGCAATAAATCACTTAAAGAAAGAATATTTTCTACCTTATTCAGGCCTGACACATATTAATGTACTTGCATTAAATTAACCTTTTGAGTCAGGGTTTAATTTTAAGCCCCAACATTTTACCTTTCTTAGCAGCAGGCCCCACTAAATGACAGATTAGTGCTCCCTGTCACCCACTATGATGTAGGGTTTCTCACTATTCAGCCTTCATTCCATATGACACACAGCCTTTCTTTCTTTTTCACCCTCCTTTAAAAAATAAAGAAGGAAAATAAAGTTTTCCAAAGATTTGCTCAAAACCATCATTAGGTCTAATTGTTTCTGCATGTTTTTTCCCCCTTCAAACAATGTTAGTGTTTAAAATGTTACTTTATTGGCCTGATCCACATTATTAAGAGGCGTGAATGTTCCTGGGTAGAGGGGATGTTGTGGAGGTGCCCAGAGAAAATTCAGCATGGAGTCAATGGTCTGGCGTCTGAAAGGAAGGGAGACAAAGCTGGTTTGTTCAGCTCTGGGTAAAACTGTGGGGGGCGTGGGGAAAGTTTGAGGAGGTGGGGGAGAAATTGGGAAGAGGGGAAAAAAAGTCTTCAAAGGAAAAGAGGAGGAATGGGAGGAGATGGAGGAGTGGAGCAGCAGGAAATGTTTGTGTGGTTTAAATCTAAGCCAGACTCTCCTGTGAAAGTAACGTGCATGGATCTGTGAGCGCAGGAAAAGGTTTTGAAGATTAAACAGCAGCATGGTCAGCCGGTAAGGAGTTACTTTTATTGTTTTTCACTAAAATTGGATTGCAGACATGCTAGACCCAACTTTTATATTGAAAGGTTTTGGTTTACTGAAATGAAACCAGAGACAACGGTTGGCAGACATGAAACGTTTTTTAATGAGTGAGAAAATACTTTAAGAAGAACCAGACAAGAAGATCTGGGGCTGAGGCAGAATTTTACACACTTTGGGAAAACTAAGGAAGCTTTTAGATGCTCCGAACTGATGAAAAACAATAAAAGCTACGAGAAAATAACGAAAAATTGAGAGGATGCCTTTGATTTAGAAAAAAACTTGGACTGAGGAAGGGGGGAAGACTTTCATTCAGTTTCAACCAGAATAAAGGAATATTTAAAATGTTTAATAAAGAGATGGGGATTATAAACAATTAGAAGACATAGAAATATAGAGAAAAAGTAAAAAGTTGACACAAAAGAATGTCGATGGGTGGAGAACGACTGATAGAGAACTTGATCTCTGAGGCTGCCAGGCCAGATGGAAACTATTAACAGTGTTGATCTGTTGATTAACCTGATGCTTCAAAACAGTTACTCAGTACCATTTTTAGAATAACATTTTATTCTCAGCTATTCCCAGAGCAGGATCCAACATGCAGCTTATAGAGCAGTCCTCTAAATATGTTATTACTCTTCTAAAGAGTATTTTAATTCAAAATCTTCCACAGAGTAATTTGTTGATGCTCTCAATACTGTTTCCCCTTTTTTGTCAGAGTGGAACATCCTGCTGCAGGCTACAGGAAGATCTTTGAGACGGTGGAGGAGCTAAATGAACCCATACCTGCAAATATCACTGGTAATAAGCAGTTGCAGATATGGAAAAGCTTTTATGTTTAGGTTTGGAATGGGAGACTTTTACTTTGAAGGGTTACACTTACATGACCAACCAGCTTGAGCTCACAAATACATCTTTTATTTTATGACAACTTTAACTGTAAAACAAAAACATGCATTAATGGAGAAAAAAATTACAAATAATCAGCTGAAGTGGACGTCATGTATCACTAGAAAGTTGTGTTTTTTTTAACTCCCTGTTTAATTGCATTTCTAAAATACGCAATGAAGCAGGGAGAAGCAGGAATAGTGGAGATGTATAAAGGTGAAGTGTGTATTACAATGTTATAACTCACTAACATATAGGGTCAGAAAGACAAGGGGTGGTTGCCTAGTGGTTAGAGCATAGAGCTTAGAATCCTGAAGTTGTGAGTTTGAAACCCATTCTCACAAACTACCACTCTGGGTCCCTAAGCAAAGACCCTTATCCCCACACTGCTCCCTGGGCACCAAAAATGGCAGCCCACTGCTCCCCAAGCAGATGGGTTAAATGCAGACATAAATTTCATTGCACTGTACTTGTGACAGTGTAATGACAATAAAATGCTGGAAAATAATAAATAAAAGAAAAAATAATAAATAAATAAATTGTTCTCTCAGGTGTGATCCCATCATGGCTCGGAGGAAGTCTTCTCAGGATGGGTCCGGGTCTTTTCGAGGTGGGAGACGAACCTTTCCACCATTTGTTTGATGGACAGGCTCTCATGCACAAGTTTGACCTGAAGGGCGGTCAGGTGACGTACTTCAGGAAGTAAGAATGCATCGTCCAAATAACTCATCCTATAGTTATAATGAACTTATCTTGCATTTTAGAAGTTTCTTAGCAATAGCGATGAATTTGGAGTCAGTATAAAGAGAAAGGTCTCTTGAAATAATGTATCTTCAGTAGATTGTTAACAGGAATGCTTCCAGAAGACTACAGAAATGAGAAACAACAAACCACAAAAATGCCTCAGTGAATGTTTCAGCGAACAACAGGCTTTTATGTTCCTGGGAAATTCTTGAGTTGTTTTTTTTGTTTTGTTTTTATGCAGAATTGATGTTTGCAGACAGACAACATGCCTTACTGGTTATTTCTGCTCATGAGGGTGCAATCTTTACCTTTAGGTTCATAAGGACGGATGCTTATGTACGGGCCATGACTGAAAAGAGAGTTGTCATCACAGAGTTTGGCACTGTTGCCTATCCAGACCCATGCAAAAATGTCTTCTCCAGGTACACTTGAAAAAAGAAAAGCACATTTGATTTGTACCGTCAGCTATGATTGACTGATTACTGTTGGGGGTTTACAACTATTTTCATTTTAACAAAAATCCAGCGGCAATGGCATTGTTTCGATTAGAACAGAACATTCCAAAGTCATTAAAACAGCATATCCTCAAACGATTCGAGGATATTTTTCTGGCTGATTCAAACATGTTATTTTCTTCATTATGCGTTGGGAAAGAGGCAGCTCTAGACACAATAAAACCAAGCTAGTCTCACAGGAGCCCTTAAAATTTACAATTGAAGATATTTTGCGACATAATTATCTCTTGGTGCTGTTATTCTGGAACAGCTTTTAAATTTGCTTACATGTTTTTGAAGCGGCCAGGATGAGAATCAGCTCCGCTAATTCTGAAGCCATGGTTCTTGGACGGAAAGATGTTTATTTATTTGATGAATAGACCATATGGCAGTTGTGATTATTTTAAAGAATTTATCTATGTTATTTTGGTTAAAACATGCTATTTCAAATTCACAACTGCTTTTGGGTCCTGAATAAAATTGTGCTCAGAGCCCTATTTTTGCTTCAACCGGCTCTGCTTAATGTAATGGTTCACTTCTGAAAAGTCTTCATCAGAGAAGTAAAATAGTTGCTAGATTTACAATTCTTATCTTATTCTGTGTGCCTAATATTCTGAATAACATTGATGGGTAAAAGAACAGTTTTTCATCAGTCTCCTTTATGCTTGTGTTTGTCCAGGTTCTTTACATACTTCAGAGGCATTGAAGTGACCGATAACTGTTTAGTAAACCTCTACCCAATTGGTGAAGATTTTTATGCCGTCACAGAGACTAATTACATCACAAAGGTGGATCCTGATTCACTGGAGACATTGAAAAAGGTTTGATTATGTGCTATATTACACTCATTTAACTGCAATTAATCCAACAGCATCTTTCAATACAAAACATTTTTGATTGCTTTTTGTGGAATCAGAAGAGCAGCCATTTTTACTGGTCTAAATTCTTTGCACTGTAGTTGATGCAGATTTTGGCCAGGTTTGCCTTACTACCTGTCTCAGTTTTTTTTTTTTTGTTTAAAAAGGGAGGCAATAAAGATGGCCTTTAGTCTCGTTAAAATAAATCTATAGCAACCTTTTAACAAACCTACCTAAGAATTCTGCTCAAAGTGCACTGCCTCATTTTCCTTAAAGGAAAAACAATATTGTATATATGAAAATGTTTTTCTTTTTTTTTTTCCCCCAGGTGGACCTATGTAAATATCTGTCCATTAATGGGGTCACGGCTCACCCCCACATTGAAGCAGATGGTACAGTCTACAACATTGGTAACTGCTTCGGAAAGAACATGAGTCTTGCTTACAACATCATCAAGATCCCACCTGCTCAGAAAGGTAAGCACACAATCAGCAACACTTTATTGTCCCATAGGGATTTCTGTTGTAGCACACCAGAAAACAAATGCAAGAAAAATACAAAAAGAATAGACAGAAATGAAAATTGACCACAACATACATGATGTGACAAATCAACATGCAACATGGTTGTCTGCTTCTGCTGGAGATTTCTTCATGTTAAAAGGGAGTTTTTCTCTCCACTGTCGCTACAAGCATGCTTAGTGTGATGGATTGCCTTCATGTCGATGAGTCGATGCAATCAACTGGTGTTCCTTAGATAGAAAACTGAATCAATTTGACTGTATGATTTGGTTGAATTTTAAAGTCCTTTGAGATGATATGTGTTGTGAATTGGCGCTATATAAACAAACTGAATTAATTTGAACCTTTTGCACTTTATTATCTTGTATTTGTGAGTCAGTGGGAGCAACCTGTAAAGGGGGGTTTTAAAATCAGCAAGGATAGCTTCGGTCTTCGTTGTGACTGTGTGGTGCTAAGGGGGGGGTTCGACAGGACTAAACATTTTATGCTGTTTAGACTGTGCCCTTTTAAAAAGAGGGACTTGAAAAAAACAAATGAATGGAATAGAAACGATGATTTTATGTTTGAACTACTTGTGTTAATGTGGATTTATATTTTATTTGTGACAGATAACTTTTACCAGCATATTTTATATACCCTTAAAATAATTTACCATTGCTCATTTTATTTTTGTAGTTAAAGTATTTAAGTATGCTTGGCTTCATCCTTTGAGTCTTTTGTTTTTTTTGGAAGTTTAACATGTCTTTCTCAATTCAAATGTCTGGATCCGCAGTGAGTTTGAGTCTTTATAAAGACAAGGCCTTGTATTGCTTGGAAACATGCAAATGGGTACAGATGAGTGGGTTGTTTGGTTCCATTGTTAGCCTGTAATATCTGAAATCTGTCTATGATTCTGAAGGTCGGTCGTTAAGGGGGGATTGTCGTTAAAGGGGGGGATTGTCTCACCTATGAATACATTTTCCTGGTATTTATTCACGTATTTATTTTTTTAGGTTCTTCAGGGCTTCTGGGAGAAAAAGAGACCCACAGCATAACGGACACATGACTTTGCTTAACAGTATAGTTGATGCTTTCCCATCTAGACTGCTGCAGAAAAACTAAATCGTAGTCCTACGCTATATTATACCTGTGTGAATCTTAGTGGGGTTTTAATGGCCCTTGTTAAGCACAGCTCTGATTGAGACAGAAATAATCCTCTTTATCATGTCTTTTCTGTAACACAAGCCAACAGAAAGTGGATAGTTACAAATTAGGGCAAGAATCTAATGCATCTCTGTGTTATTATCCATCCAGCCAACCATCTTCTTCCGCTTATCCATGTTATTATGAACATATTCAGCTTTTCCCAACTGGGAAGGGCTGCAATTTTCATCTTATTTAGATGAGGTTTAATATACTCATTAAAGTAATAAAAATGGATTAAAACAGATCAGTCAGTAACACATAAATCTGTTTTATCTTTAGATAAATCAGACCCCATAGAGAAATCCCAAGTTGTGGTTCAGCTCCCCAGCAGTGAGAGGTTAAAGCCCTCCTACATCCACAGGTAAACGTTTACCAGGCTTATAATAAAAACTTTTTAAAAAAGTAGAAAAATATATTTTTTTCTATTTTGATCTGTTTTTCCTGCATTTGCAGTTTTGGTATCACAGAGAACTACTTTGTGTTTGTGGAACAACCGATTAAGATCAACCTGCTGAAGTTCCTGTCAGCCTGGAGCATCAGAGGAGCAACATACATGGACTGCTTTGAGTCTAATGAAAGCATGGGGGTAAGAACAGACCAAACAGGAGGTCTCCTTCATTTCACTCATGGCTTATCCACATTAGAATGTGTGAATGAGTGAATGACATCCCTTCCTTTGAATCGGCATTGTTCATGCGTTGCAGACATGGTTCCATTTGGCCACTAAGGAACCTGCAGGTTATTTGAAAAACCACAAATACAGAACTTCGGCTTTCAACCTCTTTCACCACATCAACGCCTACGAAGAGCAGGGATTCATCGTGGTCGACCTCTGCACGTGGAAAGGGTGATTGTAGAGCTCTGTATCTCTGTATTTATTTGTAGTTGCAACACACTGATGTTTATTTTTATTTTCAGACATGAATTTGTGTACAACTACCTGTACTTGGCCAACCTGAGGGGGGAGTGGGAGGAGGTGAAGAAAGCAGCGATGAGGTCTCCACAACCTGAGGTCCGGCGATATGTGCTGCCTCTGGATATTCACAGGGTGAGCACAAACAGACAAACACCATATCGGTGTGGTTTTACTGATGTTATTCCTTGCTTCAGGGCACACATTTAAACTGGAGTTTATTTAGGAGGGGATAAATAGGTGTGCATGCAAAAATGTTAACCCTTTTTTTACTTATTCTTTTGTTTCACAGTTTTGTGTTGAGTTTGTCAATCTAAAAAGATTCTGGTTAAATACTTTAGAATTTGTCTAAATAAATTTGTGATGTTCAATACTTTGAAGCGTTATTTTGCTAACTGGGCTGGACCAAGAACCTGACTCAGTTCTGACCTGGTTTGAACCATTTTTTTCGTGCATCCAGGAAGAACAGGGGAAGAACCTGGTGTCCTTGTCCTACACAACAGCAACCGCTGTTCTTCTCAGTGATGGTACTATTTGGCTTGAACCCGAAGTTCTGTTCTCTGGACCGAGGCAAGGTAAAGTTTTGCTAAATCCTCAAAAAATATGATGGTACGAAGATACCACTCAGTAATACATTTTGGGAGGATTTAAGATGGATTTTGTTGGGGAAAATGTGGTCATTGTTTAAAGGATCTCTTTAAAGGATGATATAATTTTACACGGATCTGTCTGCTTTCTATCCTGTTTTTCTCTATGTGCCTCCTTCAGCCTTTGAGTTTCCCCAGATCAATTACTCCAAGTGCTGTGGAAAGAAGTACTCCTTCGCCTATGGTCTCGGGCTCAACCACTTCATCCCTGACAGGGTAGGAGCCTCTCAGATTTGATGGGATGAAGACAGCTTGCAGGGCACCTAACACACCTCTCTGCCTCAGATTGTCAAGCTGGACGTGCAGACCAAAGAGCAGTGGGTGTGGCAGGAGGAAGACTGTTACCCTTCTGAGCCGCTGTTTGTGCCCACGCCTGGAGCCACAAAGGAGGATGATGGTAAGATGCAAACTCACATATCTGCACCGGTTCTAAGCTACGTAAGACGTTTCTATCCGAATCTATCTGGTTTGATCCAGTCTAGACCAGGGCAAGCCCTCAACTGTTATTATCCTGCACATTTTAGCCAAACAATTGGTTAGGTATTAAACCTCTGCAGGACAGAATAACCTAAATGACCTGAATGACTGAAAATGAATCCTTGAAAAATGTGTGTTTTTTTATGGATCTTTACAAAAGTTATGTCTGTAATTCTTTGCTAATTTAAAGCAGATAGAAGACCAAGAACAAAACATAAGTGGCTACCTAATTTTCTTGAATCTTTAAATGGTGTAGATATTTTAGATGAGTGACATATTTATAATTTACTGTATGGCTGGAGAAATAGCATGATGGATGAGGATGATATCAAAGCAGACATTTTCTGATCTCCACACTTTAATGTATAAAATATGTGCTCTGGCCTCTGCAGGCGTGTTGCTGAGTATAGTGGTGAAGCCCGGAGCAGAGAGACCAGGATTCCTGCTCATTCTGGATGCCATGAAGCTTACGGAGCTCGCCAGGGCTGAGGTCAACACCATCATCCCCGTCACTTTTCATGGGATGTACAAACCGTCGCCTTCACCTTAAACACGTCAATCTGTGTCTGATTCCTGCAGGGGCAGGCTGGTGTATTTAGTCAATGCAGCCTTTAGATCAGTTTTTAGAAATATATCATTGTAGTTTACACCAAAGTCCCGGTGATAAGGAATGTAAAGCAGCAGAACAGCGGGACCTGGACTCCCTTTACGATTTTTTTCCCCCAGTTGGATTGTAGTATTATTTCTTTTCATCTTTTAGTTTGTGGTGATTCCCAGTGTTTTTATATCAGTTATTTTCCTTTTAACTAATGCAGTCATGCTCTCAGTATAGGTGTTGCTTACTAAAACTGCACTGAGATAAATCATTTTAAAATAAATAATAAACTTCTTAAAATGTGCTTGCCCTTATTCTGAACAGGTAAATAGGATGATTTGCCAATGGAAATAGTATTTTAGCCCCTTATATATAAGATAATTGGATATTATTCACTAGAAATAAATCAATGCAACCAGAATAAGAACAATGACACAATGCTTTTTTTCTTATTTTATATGGAAACTCTCTTATTCCATTGGGAAAATGTCTCGCTTACCTACTTAATAAAAAAAAAAAAAAAGTACTTATTTCAGGAAAAAATGTCTTATTTAAATTTCTTTTTTTGCAGTGTTAAAATGGGCTTTGCAAATTCAGGGTGGATTTATGTAAAACAAATAAGTAGAAACCATATAAAATATCAAACAAACTTTACCTAAATGAAGTTAATTAAATTAAAAAGAAACTGGAAAACTAGGAGCTAAATAAAGTAAACAAGCCCTCTAAACTCGTCGATATCATGTACAACAGTGAATATGCTTACATAAACTCACTAATCGAGAAGTGGACGATCACCTGATGAATTTTATCTCATATTAAATCAAAAGTCTTGATCCATCTCATTTCTGGACCTACTAACCACAGACAGGAACCTGCAAATTCAAACAACATATTTTAGAAGAAAGAAGTCCCTTGCAGCAGCTGCAGTGTTTATTACTGCATTGTTAGGAGAACAAAATGCAATTATCAGCTTGCATTACAAACAGTAGTGAGCATTATCACTGTCTTGGACTTAAATCATTGTAAAGTTGGTTTTGATGTCTTTCCTGACCCAAGTCTTTCTTCAAAAGCAAAAGAAAGAAAACCATTATAACCCGACAGAAATATCTGCTGGTCCATATAGAACTTTGGTTTGTATAAAGTTCTCAAAATGTTTTTCCTGGCACTTTTCTTTTTAAGTTTCAACTTATCTGGCATTAATTGTGCCCAAATGTCCCCTCAGAACCGTTAACTACAGCCCAGGTACCACCGGTGGATTGAGAAACAACACTTTCCAAGCTTAGAAATAAGACATTTAAAATGCTAATCAATTAACATGGTGGTGTGTAAGGTTTCATCTATTCTGTGATTAGCAACATCCCATGTTATTGATGCTGCTTCTCTGGCTCGCAGATAAACATTTTCATGTAGCTTAACATTTAATCCACGTATCCTGCACTTAAAAATGTGTTGTTTTATCGGAACATATAACAATTCAATTTATTACGGTACATTGCATACAGAAGACCAGTGGTCGTCTTACAGTTAAATATTAAAAAATGTCTAAATTGCAAAATATGTCAAATAAACAGTTGAAGCAATAAGAGCTCTTCAAGTGTTGTTTCTTCTGTCTTTAGTGAACATCCATCCATTTTCAATCACGCTTATCCCTGCTGGGGTTGCAAGGGGTGCTGGTGCCTATCTCCCGCTGTCAATAGGCGAGAGGCGAGGTACACCCTGGACTGGTCGCCAGTCTAACACAGGGAAACGCAAAGACAAACAACCATTCACGCACATACTCACACCTAAGGAGAATTTAGAGAAGCCAATAACCTAACAGTCATGTTTTTGGACTGCGGGAGGAATCCAGAGTAACAGGAGAGAACCAGACAAAGACCCCAGGCCTGCAAGCAGCAGTGCTACCCACTGTTCCACTGACCAGTACCCTGTAGACTTCATATTGTCCGCTGACCTCTGGAGTTTCATGAAATTTAAAAAACAACATTAGAGATCTTAATGTGTGATTTATTTCTAACAAGGATGCATCAATCCCATCTGACCAATCCAATTCCAATTTTTTCTTTTCTAAACTAGTTTTTAAAACCCATTTGATATCATACTATTAAATTTGTTCCCTTCTGCTTCCATTTTTGTAATTTATTACAGTTTTTGTTTTTCCCAGAGCAACATGTTGTCATAATATGGTTGTTTTTAGCTGTTTTTGTGTTTTCTACTGAGCAGCATCTAACCTCTATTGAGACTTTTTTCTTATAAAAAAGTAAATGTATAAAGAAACTACTCGCATATTGTTTGGAGACAATGAAATATGTTTTTTACAAAAACTTCTAATTTACCTAATCTGTCCCTGATATTAGGCCTACAGCATTAGTAAATCAAATATTTTAAGTAATCCTGGCCTGAAACAGTCAAGGTTTAGTCTAGTTTATTGTAAAATAGGAAGTAAAACTTTCTGAAAAAAAGTATTTTGAAACAAAATCCATCTATTAAACAAAGTGTAATAGATGGACCTGATGGTTTCCATTAGCCAGACAAAGTTCACATACATTTAAAGGTAGTAGTGTATCTAAACATGGACAAGAAAAAAAAACAAAAAAACACACACAAGTTAGGCAATCTATTTATTTTTGTACAAATAAGCATTATCAAAACTCTTATTTTACACTTAATTACAAAAGGGGTAAATATTAAAGGCTCTGTTAGGTGTTTTAGACAATTACATTCTTTGTAATTTCAATTTAGATGAACAAGAACAGTGAAGGTTTTTTGGGGATTTGTAAATATCAAGTTAGGTTACCGTTAGAGTTTCCTTATTCCTGATCTGACAGAAACAGCACCATAGAAAACTACATTTGCTTTTAAAATGTAAAGCGAATTAAAAAAGTTCCACAGACTTCCCCTACCATCAGCATCCCTGACGTTTCTGTAGAAATTGTTTTAAAGGTAAAGCATTACTTTAAGTTGGACAGAGCTGCAGTATTGCAGGTTTGTGTGATGACCCTAAAACACCGAAGCCACTTCGAAGGCTACAGGCGTCTACATCCGAATGACCACAGAGCGTCCCTTCTCTGTGGACACCTGGTACCGCTGCTGTTTGATGATGTCCAGAGTGTCTCTGAGAACCTGCAGAGTGAAAAACATCACCTTCAGATGGCTCCAACCTCATCTGGAAATCATTCAAACATAAGCTGATATTTTTACCTTTCTGGTTTCCTGTGGCAGAATGACTCCGTCGTCCCACATCCTACCAGAGGAAAAGAAGGCAGAGCTCTCCTCCTCTAACATCTTGTCCAGCTTGTGCTCCTCATGGTCATCATCAGCGAGAAGCAGTGAGCCAGCGTGACCCGGAGCAGTCAGCGACACTCTGGCATTGGGCCACAGGAACAGGAAGTTAGGGTCAAAAGCCCGTCCACACTGAGGAGAGACAGAGACAGTGAGCTCAGTCCTAGGTGCAGAATCCTTCTGTAGGACAGATGGATGGGACTTCATTATAAAATGGGAACTTATGGCTATAAAAACAAATAATTTAAGTGTTATAAATAGTTTATGGTCACTAAAGTAGATGGAAAATGTTAAGCTATAGAACTGAAGAAAAAAACTATGGTTGCTTACCATGGCGTAGCTTTCGGCGCCATGGCAACCACCAATCACTACAGTGATTTTTGGGACGGAGGCACACGCCACAGCCGACATCATTGAACCCTGAGCCTTCAGGCGGTTGCTGTTCATCTCTGCCTGAAAGAAAAGGACAGAGAAATCAGTTTTAAAACCTTTAAATCTTTTCTGCCACTTTGAACAGAACTAATTTCACTTCATGTCTTCAAGATCTTCAGATCTATATTTCTATAATCAAATATGTATCTTCTTCACATCTGCTAGCCAATTCGTGTTCTTGCGCAGAAAGAAAATTTGGCTGTTTGGCTACTGTTCTCACAGCTGGTCGGTGAGAACAGTGGTGTGATTGGACACCTGAGCAGCAGAAAGAGTTGGCGCCGCTGCCGGCGCCGTGTTCTGAAGGAAGAGGAGCGGCACATCTCTTTGGTCGCACAGCTGGACGAAATGACTTCCTTTTAACGCAGCTTCATAGGTCAGCGCTCCATTATTGGCTACTATTCCCACCAGGTTCCTACAGAAACAGACGACATATTGAGATTGCTCTGCTGCAAATCGGCCAAGGCAAACTGAAAAAAAAGGACTTTAAAATAAATCTTTACTGATCCGTACAGCAGAAGATGAAGTTAAAGGAGTCATTTTAAAGGCAAAAGGAGAAGCTGTGGATTAAATGGATGAGTCTAGATTTTTATGGTGAAGAGGTTCATCTATAGGAATAATGGAAAAAATATATATATAAAGAAAATGTAACACAGGGAAACCACAGACAGAATGTGGAGGCATAAACTTAAAGAATGAAGATCAAGTAAAAGTTACGGCACACCTGATTGGCTAAAAGAAATAACATCTCTTTCTCATATCGATGGCCCAGAGAAACGGGGTCATTAAAGTTCTTCAGATCTGACCAATTGTATGAATATAAAGTTCATAGTCAAAATATCAACAATTTAAATTATCTTTTATACTTTAAAACTTTTTTTTTCATAAACTGCAGTAGTCTATTAACTAGTTTGTTTCAGAATCAATGCAATCTCTCCAGCTACACCAAACAGCATTAAAATCTATGGATGAAAGTCAATATTTAAGCTATTAGTCAAAGTAAACATTTCTTAAATACTGTGCCAATGTAAGTTTGAGATATCAGCCTGATTTTAGAGCCGATTAACATTTTACCCATGAATCTTTGCAAATCCAGTGACGAGTGTGGTTCCATATCGAGCTTTAAATTCCTGGAAGCGGCTCCCATCTGTCAGACGACTCACGATCTGAACGGGAAAAGAAAATCCAAACATGATGGCTCTGAACCTGCTCGGCCTGCATAGCAAACTGTTTGGTGCAGCCGTGTTTTTTCCAGGTGCCTTACCATCTTAACATCTAGAGTGTGGCTATAGTTCTGAGGAGCGAGCCCCAGGAGCTCCTCAGAGCTGTGCAGAGGCTCCTCTCCTGCTCTCCTCTTTGCTGTGTCCTCCTCCTCTTCAGGCAGTTGGAAGTTCAGGGTGGAGATTATGTTTCTTGTCTGATCAAACGCCTCCTTCTCCTCCCATGCAAAGTGATCCACACAGCCGCTCACCCTAAAACGGGGCAGCAAGCAGACAGCTGGAGATATGAACTCACTCATGTCCGCGGCCTTGGTTTATGGTTCTTACTCTGCGTGGAGTCGGGCCCCTCCCAGGTCCTCTGGTGACACCTCCTCTCCTGTAGCGGCTTTGACGAGCGGTGGGCCTCCCAGGAATATGGTTCCTATCCGGTGCACCATCACCGCCTCCTCTGCCATCGTGGGGACATACGCTCCACCCGCAGTGCATGACCCGCACACGAGCGCCACCTTTAACATCATTAACCACATTTAATTGACACGGAAAATGATAAAGATACTAAAAAATTATTATTGTATTGCAGTGGCATATGAGAAATGTCCGAGCTCAGGTGCCTCAATCGACTCTAATACGAATTCTTAAATAAAATGAAGTTTCTTTAAATAAAAAGCTGACTTTTTGATTTGTCTAAATTAGTAATCCATTACTCTTTTTTTACTCTGCAGTATAAATATAACAAAAACAAAATTCAAATTTTTACCAAATAAAGGTCTCCTTTACCCCTGGTTATTTGGGCATTTATCAGGGAGGTGATCCCCCCCCAGCGAAGGAAGCTGATGAAGTTGTAGACATTTATGCTCGTTTTTAGAGAAAATATTCACAGACATTGTAAAATGTAATATACCGTAAACAATCTTTATTTTTTTATTGCATCAAATTGCAATCACATTTGCCCTCTGCATTTAACCCCACACTTTGATGGACGAGTGGGCTGGTCATTCAAATGTTAATATGGAAAATATTCAACACAATTTATTTCTTCTATTAACACAGCTTTGGATCTCATACCAAACAGGACCAAAAACATTTAATAAGTTTTACTAAAAAAAATAAATTTAAAAAATCCACGTAACGAGACCAATATTCTATTTTGAGCATAAACTAATTATTGTTTTCTTTACTACCTCAGATGAGCGAGAACCTTCTGATGTTATAGTTCCATTATGATTCATAGATCTGCTTTCTAAAAAATCTGACTTCTTTCTTTTATTCAAAGTTGCACTTTTAGTTTGTTAATGACAAGGTAAAAAACAAAAAAATTGTCAAAATGTTTATTTGTGTGCTTCAAAGAAAGCAAAAAGTTATTTTTGTGAACCAATAAGTACTTCTAACTTGACACTTTAGTGGCACAAAGTTTAAACTGCAAGCTAGCTACATCCCAACTCACTGATTAAGGGTACGCACTGAAATATTCTGACCTATAATGAGAAACGTAAACAATTGGAGTTTATTGGAAATCTATTAGAACTTCACCTGGAAATTAGCAGTGAATCCAGCCTTTGATTTAGCTTTTTAACAACAATAATTATCTGCCAAGGTAGCGCTGGGAGTTACGACGTCAAAACAAAATCACAATTAATTAGGCAGTTTTACCTCGATAATGATTAATGCATGATTTTTTTATCCACTTTGCTTTTATCTTTTTAAATATTTTATGTGTTTCTTCTTTTATTTTTTATCTGTGATTTTTGAAATGTGAACGTGTGTGAAAGGTGTACTACTACTGCACAAAAATTGCCCATACTGGGACAAATAAAAGCTACTGAACTGAACTGAACTGATAAATGCTTCTGTTCCTCTATCAGAAATAAAGGTATGTGCAGGAAATGCAACTGATCTATTTATAATTAATTTATTGAATAAATCACATTTCAGATTACTTTCAATTAAATATTAAAGGTTTAAATCATTCAGGTTTAAATGTTCAACAATGTCTCATTGAACAGGAGAAAAAGGTTACTTCTGATGCACACATTTTTGCGCAAAGGTAATGGAGCATTTTGCGAACCTTTGAACGTGGCTCTGCTGTAGGTGGTGGAGGTTGGATGGGTTACTTTGGTTAGTTCCAATCGTTTTTAGGCAAACTTTGCATTTCATCATCTTTTGCTCAATATTTATTTGGTGCCACTGAACTGAGCATGCAATGAGATCAATGTGCATTGTTTAAACTCACACATCCTCACTCAAAACCAGTCTGCCGCATGCACAACTCTGACAACGCCCTCGATTTCTTCTCTGCACATCAGCTTCATCTCTGCTCTCGCTCGGCTCCACATGATTAACTGATGTAATTTAATTTACAGCTGTGTTAATCGCTTTTTCACCGAGTCCCTCCTCTATTCTCTTTGTCTACATTTTTGACTGGATCGAAGTGATTAGACACTTGTGCCATGTCCTAAAGGGGAAGGAAATACCAGCCACCAGCGCACACACTAAAAACGGCACAAGTAAGTTAACTTCTTTCACCTACCATAGGAACATTTTTGACCGGTTATCGTAGTGAATAACGATAAAAATCAGGTTTATCGCCCAGCCCTATGGTAAGGTACCTCATTTCCACTGTTAAACACGGTGATAGATATGTGATGCTGTGGGCCTGTTTTATGTCACAAAAACTCCAGAGTTCCTTTTAATAATCATGACCCAGGACGTATAGAAAGATTTTTGATTGAGTGAGTATTTTCTACCTGTGGAATCTTCATGGCAGACATGATGGCTTCATTATAGAAGGTTCTTCCTCCCTGGTTCTTATCAGGAAAAATCTCAGACTGGACAGTTCATTGAAGGAGGGAATTAAGAGTGAAAAATGGCTGTTAGTATGATCCGTCTATCTGTCGCTGTCCTGAAAGAAAAACTTTTTTTTGGGGCATTCAGACCTGCAGAGGTAGGAAAGCTCCACCAGAGTCTACCAGGTAGACACAAGGCAGGCGGTTCTGAATGGCTACCTCTTGTGCCCTCAGCTGCTTCTTCACTGTGATTGGATACGCGGTGCCGCCTTTCACTGTGGCATCATTGGCGATAAACACACACCACAGACCATTGATCCGACCGACGCCTGGATACAAACACACACACACACACACACACACACACACACACACACACACACACACACACACACTCACACACACACACACACACACACACACACACACACACACACACACACACACACACAGGGTGAGCCGTAGAGTCAGAACAGTCAGAGAAACGCAGTCAGACTGGCTTAGATATGCAGCATAGTACCAAAGACACAGCTAGAGGTTTCTGACCGGTCAGGCAGCCTGCTGAAGGGATGTCCCCGTACGGCAGACCCAACCCGGCGAACGGCGAAAGCTCCAGGAAGTCGTCATCGTCCAACAGGAGGCTGAGCCGCTCCCTGACCAGCAGCTTCTTGTTTCTCTGAGTGTGTCTGGCTATGGCGTTCTCCCCTCCGCCTCTCATCACCTTCTCCTTCAACTCCGTGTACCTAACAAGTAGAGACTGGGTGTTAAAGATGGAAAAAGACAGAAAGGTTGACGGTGTCAGAAGTAGAGGCCTCGCCTACCCAAGACACTAAAATACAATACAACAAAATTAGATCAACATCTTCATCATGGAGAATAAAATTAACAGATGAAAAAAAAAATTAAAATAAAATTAAAATCTAAGTTTTTTGTCTCTCATTTCTGTACATATTGTTTCGCAAAGTCTTCGACAACATATTTGATTAACTGACTGATCTTTAACCCGTGGTTAGCAGCGCAAAGAAGCAGAGGGGACTTTTCCTCTGCAGACCTGAGCTGAACCTACTTCCTTTGGCAGGCGCTGCTGTTCCTCAGGTTTGCCTCATAGACGTGGCGCTGGATGGGCTGCAGGGGGCGCTCCAGCACTGGGAAGGCGCTGCGAAGAGCTTTCCGATTTCCTGCCTCTGAGCTGGCATAGCGAACGGAAAACGGCTCAGCAAATCTGCAAAACAAAATTCAAATGAGAGTGATTTAAAAAGTGTTTTGCAAAGGTATACATGAAGGTTAGCACATTACGACGGTTTAATATATATCTATTATTATTATTATAACCAAACTGGTTTACTAAAATGTTTTGCTCATTCTTTTTTTACAGACTAACTCAAACTTAACAGAACAACAGTCTTTCCTCAGACTTTCCATTGGATTTAGGCGTGAACTGTGACTGGACCATTCTATTAGGATAATATGCTTTAAGATAAAGCATAGTTCTGGTTTTAAGAAAAGTGTTCTCATCCCAAGTTGAACCTCTGCTTAACTCTCTACTCTTCTGCAGCCTGAAACCAGTTTTTAAGGATTATCTGCAGATAATCTCCAATCCAGCTTCCCATCCACCTGGATCAGCGTCCCTGTGGCTACACTAATGAAGCTGCCCACTATGTTCTATTATGGAGATGGTCAGATGGCGTCTCTTCAACACACACAGCGATCTCCAAGAAATTACTACTTTGTGAACAATTGAAGGATTGCATCAACACTCTTTAGAAATACTGGATAAAAAGTCTGCATAAACTGCAAAAAGTTAACTAAAAGTAACATTTTATTGGAACAAGTGTGTTTGTACCCGATTAGAGTAATGAAATGTCAATGGAGTAAGATTTTTGGAGTTGAAATAAAAAAAGTGTTTTGTTTTTTTCACCATCTGCACTCACTGGCAGTTCGTTGTATAGATTAGGAATAAAAGATTAAGTCACATGATTGTTACATTGTAAAACTATATTAACTGATTTTAAAAAAAATGGAAACAGATGTCCAGCTTGCAACTGTCACTCATCTACATAAAATGGAATTTATCATAGACCATTTTAGGATTATTTTCAACTTTTACTTTCAATAGGCTACAACGAGGGGGTTGGTGGCATAGGGGATGGGTTAAATACGGTGGATGGTTTAAAAGTCAGAATTCTAAGAAAAAAAGTCAGAATTCTGAGAAAAAAAGTCAGAATTCTGGGGAAAAAAAGTCCGAATTCTGGGGGGAAAAAAAGTCAGAATTCTGGGGGAAAAAAAGTCAGAATTCTGAGATAAAAGTCAGAATTCTGAGATAAAAGTCAGAATTCTGAGATTAAAGTCAGAATTCTGAGATTAAAGTCAGAACTCTGAGATTAAAGTCAGAATTCTGAGGAAAAATTCAGAATTCTGAGATTAAAGTCAGAATTCTGAGAAAAAAAAGTCAGAAATTTGACGAAAAAAAGTCAGAGAATTCTGAGATCTCATATTATACTGAAATAAAATGTAAACATCTGTAAACTTTTTGTTTGTTTTTTCAGTGGCCCTAATCCTCTTCCGTAAAATAAGTCATATCAAAACTTAATATAATATTACCAAGTACTTAAAGCGTCAAAGGTCGTCTGAACCATAGATATCCATAATAAAGGCTAGATGTCTTACGGCGGAGTCTCAAACGTCCTCACCGGCGGCCATCTTACCACAGGCAGGCTTTCTGTTGTGCTCTGTGGTACCTAATGTAAGGTGAGTGATCAGCACGAACACAAATACTCTTATCTCACTGAATTCTTGACGGATTTACAAACAGTTTGGTTTCTTACAAACATTATGAACGTGGCTATTATTCTTGATGCTTGAACATGTCGAAATTGCAGATTTTCTTGACGAAAAATGACTTAATCGCGCAGCATAGCTGTGCATCACGGCTACTTGCGCAAGTTATCAAGGCTGAGACTATTGGTCAATTATATAGGTTTTACTGACACCAATAACGATTGTATGACAATTAATCTTTGGTGTAAATTACAATCTTTGTGGATGTGGTTGTAGTTAGTTGGCTAATAACAATAATCTGAGTGTTGTTGTATTTTCATTATTAGCCTAACGTTAGCTGGCTAATAACAAGAAGCTGCGAAGTGAGACCTAACGTTAGTAAGTTAGCAGCTAACGTTACAGTTTAGCTAGCTGCCTACGTTAACCAGCAACTTTACATCAGTGGATGAGGCAGAATTTAACATGATTTCCAATCGATTTGGTCTGTCAACACATCTTACATTATGTTACAGGAATTTGCTGGGTTTATTAAAAGGAAGATGCCAGACTTTTGCTATGACATAATAGTATTACAAGATTGTTGTTGACTCAAAGCTTTTATAAGTTTGTATTAGTTTCATTTGGACAACTTAAAGATGGTGTTGTGCCAAACATTTTCAACTTTCCAGCTCATCTTCAAAGGGCATGTGTATCATTGAAATTTAATCACATATTGATATACCAATCTTATACACTGTGAATTGTTGTTGGTCACTTTTGTTTTTGTTTCTGCAGGTTATATAATGTGTAAGCAGGAGGAGAAGATCTTCCATCCCCGTTTGCTGACATTCCTGCGCTAGTACATGACCACAGCTACCTTCCTGTCCGCTTTGATGGCCTTATGGACAACGCTCTCTTGTACATTACACAGAAGCTCAATAAAACCTTCCTTTTCAAAGGGCATTAGCCAAGCTATGTTTTTTGGGTCATTTTTTAAATCTGTCTTCCATGTGTATACCATCACAGTAGTGTAGGTGGGGATTTCAACATGCTACATCTATATATACTTGTGAAGGGGACTATTGCACCAATTTTAATAGCAAATAAATGTCACTTTTATAATGGTTTAAAAATAGGAACTCTTGTGTAATTACCCCTGATATATAATCCGAATAGTCTACATGAAACTTCAAAGTGTTACCTTTAATTTGAAACCTGGATTATGCTTCTACACCAAGAGGTTGCCACACAATAAGCCTTTTCTGTCATTATTCCATATTTTATTATAACAATAATATTCATATTATAAAAGTATGTATGTAAATATAAATAAATTAGGACTGTGAAATAATTAATCACACCCAAATAAAAGTGTTTATTTATATATATATATATATATATATATATATATATATATATATATATATATATTTATATACATATTAAAATATATATATATATAAATATGTATATATACATATATATATATATATATATATATATATATACATATATATATATATATATATATATATATATATATACACATAATTTTATTTATATATATATATACATATTTATATGTATATATAAGCCTTTTTTGTCAGTATTTCATATTTTATTATAACAATAATATTCATATTATTAAAGTATGTATGTAAATATAAATAAATTAGGACTGTGAAATAATTAATCACACCCAAATAAAAGTGTTTATATATATATATATTTATATATACATACATATTTATATATATATATACACATATTTATATATATATATATATATAGGTATCCATATCTATATAGATATCTATATAGATATATCTATATATCATGTTGCCATTCAGTACACTGAGTTTTATTAGCATATATTGATTTAACATAAATACCTTGTGCATGTGTATATTTATTGCACCTGTATGTTCTATTCAATGTTCTTTTCATATGAAATTCCATGGTTATAATTATTCATAAGTGTGCAGTATCATAACTACATGTCTGACTTTTGTTTAACAAACCAAACAGTTAGACAATTGAGGAAGTTATGGTTATTTAAGTACATGCGCCTTTAAAACACAATGTTACGAATGAGCGAGCTGCCTGTGGTAAGATGGCCGCCACGTGCGGACATCGACCCCCATTGGCCAGCAGCGCGGACGAGACATCTAGCCTTTATTATGGATATCTATGGTCTGAACTCGCTGCGGATGTTAAAGAAAAAAAGAAAAAAACACCAGATTGTGATCAATAATGATCCATCTTATTACCTTAAGATGCAGCGCTGCATGGTCCACTTGTCAACGCTGCAATTAAGTTATTTACAGCTTTAATAAACTAAATCCAACCACAAAATGCATTGGACTAAACAGCAACCATCTAGGGGGCAAGAAACAATTCATCTTCTTCTGCAACTAGCAAAGAACTGTTAGCTCTTTGCTGCCACCAATAGGTCAGAAGTGGAAGAATCAGGACAGTCGCTAAAAACAATAAGTTGACGTCAAATTATAAAAAAAACTATACTTACTTAGAAAACTATAGCTTACATCAGAGGTACTTTTTCTTAGATGTTTACGAATGTATGGAGTTACTTTATTTACTTTAATAATTTTTCTTTATTAATTTTTAGCTTCTTTCTAACTATGCCACTGTATGATTCTCTGTGTGCTTTACTATTATGGTTTTATTTCATTTTATGCATAATACTTTGAATTGTCTTGTTACTTAAATGTTCTATATAAATAAAGTTGCATGTTCTTGAATTTTCCTTTCTCGCGTATCCCAATAATGTAGATCTTGTTCTCACTCTAAATGTTATATATTATAGTGTGGGTAGCCAGCTACAGGGAACAGGTAACTCTTTTTTTGTTTGTTTAAGCGGTACATACTTAAAATGGATGCATAAGTAGTATAATAGTTTAGCAAAGTATGTTCAGGTTATACACAGTACTTTATAAAGGTCATATGTTTGGTAACTATTAGGATTCTTTTTTAAACAATTTTTAAATCCTGATACCGCTTCTTATAATCACAGATTTAAATAATTTAACCACTTTGACCAAAACAATGACAGTTTCTTGATAAATTTAAAACAGTTGATCATCAGATGAGAGAATTATTTTTTAAAGAAAATATGTATTTCACTGTCACAAATTTGAACTATAAAAAATTCAAATAGAACAGGAATATTTTTTGCAAGTTGGAACATGTATGTTGAATGTCTCTAAATATTCTAACGCATGCTCACTTATTCATGAGTGGACTGCATCAAGTTTATGCATCCCTAAAAGCACTAGGTAGGTGAAAAAAGTAAGAGAAACTTACAACAAGAATGAGAAAATGTTGTTGCATGAGGGCTGATGTCATTAGAAGGTATTACAAACACCTCTTATAGCACATTATGTAATGATTATTGCAAATGTTGAGGTAAATAGATGGCTACCGCAGTGAAAACTGTACACATGAAACCTGAATTAAACTTCAAATAAAATCAGATATCCGTTTCACAAGTGAACAATTATCTCTCCACATCTTGACCTGCAAATATTTTGTCCACTTTACACCTCATTGAAGATTCTTAGTCAGAGTGTTATCTTTGGAAAACAAGAATTCAGCCTTAAAACACTATTCATTAAACTAAAAATAAGATAATAGGAGTATGTTGTTATCTATTATTAATTCAGTGTTGCAGCAATATGCAGTTTTTTTGAACATCATAAAAACCTAGCATCTTAAGGGTGTATAAACATTTTGTGACAGTCACTGTAGGAGGTCCCCTGCAGCACACCTGTCGCTGCGCTGCATGTAATGATAAAGAGTGGACACTAGAGGGAGCCAATACACCTTTTTTTTTTTATTTTTTTTTTACACAACTCAACTGGATTTATCATCAGCCTAAATCATGGATAATCTGATTCCAGTAAAATTTTCACTCACCAAAACAAACGAAAATAAAAAAAAGACAAATAAAACTATTGACATTTAATTTTTTGTTTGTAAAATACAACATCTAACGAAAACTAAAGTTAATACGCCGACATAATAGGGATAGATTTAAGGAAATTTGATCATCTCTGCAAAATTTTTGATGCACAATTACTCTAAATAAATATTAGTAAAAATTCCCTATGCCTTCATCGCATTAAAAGCAATCACAGAAACAAATTGGTGATAAAAGAACTGTGCTAAAAACAAAAATGTTCTATAATTAATATAATTTGGTTTGTCTTTAAGAAATGTGTTAAATTACACATAAATCGAAAAATGTTATGTTTTCTTTGGAAGCTAAACATATAATAAATAGATACATTATGTTTTTCACTTTTTTGTTAAAAACATTACCATCAAAATATATCCATCAAGTGAAAAAAATAATAAGAGTATGGCTCATTTAACTGCATTTTTTCATCTGTAAAACCATCACCAATTTTACCCTTAACATATAGTATAACACATAAACTAATTTGATTGTGGTTTTGTGTTAAATTGAACTCTCTGAGGTGTGGGCTCCTGTTAGGGCGGCCCTGCTGGCTCAGTGGGAGGAGGAGAGTCACTCTCAGCCAGGAGAACCGCAGCGGCAGTTTGGGAGAAACCCAGACGGGGGGAAAAGTGCGTACAACCCGGGAGAAGTCTCACAGAGGTTTCCACCATGAGTTGGGGGACGGAGCTCTGGGTGAGTTGGAACTCTTCAAGCGGATTTTTCCCTCCGTTTCGGTTGTTTTCCTTTGACTCCAGTGTCTTGGGTCGGACTTTTTCTTTCGGGACGTCGAGTGGAGGAAAGGTGCCGCGGCTCTCCGGTTGAGCTTTGTGCTGCTAGCCGGCGTGGCTAACGGCTAAAGCTAACCCACCTTAACGGCTGTGACAGCGGAGCCGAACAATAGGCAGCCAGGTTCCCACACAGTCCGGGGAGGAAAGAGAGGGGGGGACGGACCTCTGCCTTCCCTGTCTCCCCCTGTCTCCCATGTTAGAAGGCTGGTTAACTTATTAAACCCGCGTTACTAAGTGGATTATCTCCACTGTCTTTATGTGTGGAAGGGAAGTTGAGTCTCCCCGGTGTTTGTAGACATTGTGTGGGCGTCAAACCCCAGACCCCCATCCTGCTACGGCTCCTAAAAATTAACCTCAATTAGGCCCATCCAGTTCTTTGTCTGGAATAAGACATTTGGAAATAAATCTATTTAGAAAAAATATCTATTTTTTATTTTTTAAACACACCAATGTTTTTGTGCAGTTAAATCATGACTTACTGTAAGGAAGTCATGGTGGATTTGTCTTCCCCCTGAACTCATCCATAGGTCTATAAAGAAAAGCTTATCTCATTTGCAGTTGTAGGACTGTTGCACAATATTAGTGTTTGTTTTTAGTGTGCATTAGAAAGGGAGCATGTGGCTGATTCCTATTTTGAATAATTTTGGGGTGTTGGCCATCCTGAGCTGTGAAACCAGAGAGGCAACCACCAGCATCCCCCCTTATCTTATGAGTGGGTGTGTGTAGGAGGAGGAGGGGATCCTTGTTGTCCCAGAGATGATACTCTTCCATCAGATTGCTTTGGTTATTATCTACTGTCTGAAATAAGCTCATTTTTGCTTGCTCAGTCTCCCGATGTAACATGACCATCCTGCTGCAGGCAAAGAGATAAATTTTTGCTTGTGTGAAATACAGAAGGTTTTTGAAAAGGGTAATTTTTTCTTCCCATTCATGTTTTCTGTCCAGATTCTAATCTATCTAGGCTGCTTGTTGAGGTGCAAGATGCATGAACAGCTCAGTACCAGATGGTACATCCAAAAGAGGTAACAAAGATTGGCTTATAGTCTTCCAGAAATGGTTGAGAACCTGTCTTTTTGGCAAGATGTCTTTTAGCTTTCACTTCTGTGTGCACTGATCAGGCTTTATACCAACTGTTACCAGTTTGGATATTGAAAGTCAGTAACACATAACACATTATCTATGTTATCTTTTAATTTTTTGTAGAAAAATAACAAAATTAAACCAAAAAAACCTCCACAAAACTTGTGACGAATGAAAATCATTTGAAAATGAGAGATTACAACATTATACTGCTTTATGCATCCCAGTACTTTTGCTCAGTGTGTATCTAAAAAATGCTGCTGGTGTGTTAAAACTAATAAAAGGGGTGACTTTTTGCGTATGCATGAGACACAGGCAAAAGATCTAAGTCCATACAGTTGGACAGGCTTGCCTTTGAGCAAATAAGGTCAGTCATATGATGCAAACTATTAAACAGCTAGAGGTGGAAGCCCGTGCTCAGTGATATCAAGTTACTGATTTCACAGTTATTCACCTAAGAAAGTGTGTGGCAACAGTATCTCTCTCACATTACTGCAAGATTTGGATTGTTACTTGTTTATATTTTTATCTATAGATCTTATAGAAACAGACAGCTGTTGATGGAGTTTACATGCAGCTGTTCGTGCTGCTTTAACTCCTCCATTATGCCAATGCAACACCCTCCCAAATGGCTATGTTTATTAATATATATATTTATACCCATATCTTTTGTCTGAGTCTTGCGGCGAAGCAATCCAGTCATAGCGGAAGCTGACCAGTGGACCGTTGTAATCCCTGAATCCCCTGATTGGATTAATGTGTTAGCTGTCTGTGGTCAGATTAAGGATTACTACCCAAAAGATGTAAATCTGTTTATTGGTCAGTGTCATGTTCAATTGCTAACCCTATGTCATATATTATAGCGTAGTGATTTTTAAATTCTGGTGGTTAAGTCGGTTTACTGTGGCTGTATATGTTGTTTAGATAACCGTAACTGGCGGACACTAGCATGGCTAAACATATTGAGCTTGTTAGCTGAAAATCTCACTGGCTGTAATAATCGACTTACGATCAACTGTCCAATAATGGGTTAATATATAATTTGTTCCATCCGTTTAATTGCTAATATCCGATGAAGGAATTTGTTTTAGTGTTGTAATGTGACCTTTGTCCACCACTGTTTATTTTCATTTTGCGAGCAGTCCCACTGCTATTTGTGAGAAATTTACACTGTTTAATGTTGACACGGATGCAGAATCTACTCTAATATAAACACTTTATAAACCCCTTTAGTTGGCACCTAAATAGCGCCCCATTTAGCTGTGTTGCACAGCAGAGCAGCATAACTTTTCTGCTCTGCTCAGAAGGTGATGTGATGATAGAAAAGTGGAGGGCATTACGCATAATGTTTTTAACATTGTAGACAAAGACATGCCGACAATAAGCACCCCAGCAGGGTAGATGGAGGAGGCTGTTGTGAATTGAGCTGAGTTTTAATTTAATGAGAGCGCAACCAAAACCCCCCTTTTAAAAGCACTTCTGTTTTCATCCAACAGATTGGTCAGTATATGATCCCTAAAAATGTTAACCATTTATGCTATGCATAAATCCTCAGGATACAGGAAAAAATCAAGTGTTTAAGAAACGGGTCGCTTATCAATTCATTTTTAGTGGATCAATATGATCAGTTAAGTTCAGATTAATTCATTAATGGATAATTTGCATCCCCACCATCTAGCTATCCAAATATGTAGAGATGCATAAGGGTGCAGCGTCCTGCACTTTTATATAAATCATTGCCATGTCAATGGATATGATGCCCCCCCCTAAATATTTCTTCATCCAGTCATTTCTGCACAGAAATACAATCATTGTTTTTCAAAATGTGCATTGCTTTGATCTGGTTTAATTAGAGATAACTGTACGCAAAGATACTTTTTCATTTATTTTATTTCTTTATTTTCTAAATGATCAGATTTGACCATTTAACCTTTTTTTGTAAAATGGGTATTAATGTTTTTTGAATAGACGCCGTTAGTATACATTCTTTTTTTGTGTGTATATGTGTGTATGTATATTTTGGCTCCAGGTCACAAAGACAGGGAGGAACATCCTATTACTCTGCTGGCTTCCTACCCCAACCCACACACTCATGTCAAAATAGGAAGTGCCCTGAATCGAAGCTCTGTCTGTGTTTTGTGTGTGCGTTAGTGCCAGGATGCCGGCCTGCTGTGCTCAGGTCTGTCTGAGCGAGACGGGCTGGAGGCCAGCAGAATGGAGCGGTCAGGACTGACCAAAGGACAACGGGCTAACAGGCGGTCGTCCCTATTGGCCGGTCAAACTAAAAGACAAGGATAAGGGGATGGAGAATTAGAAAGCAGGGGGAATAGTTACAAAGATTTAGGATTTTGTTTTAAAATGAAAAGGATTTACTGACTGGTTAATCAAAGTATCCACTTTGCTTCTTATTCCCTGTGTTTGATGTAGATTTGGAAATCCATGGAGGTGTTCTTTGGCCAGGATGTTTTATGTTAGTTGTAGTTTGTCCCTTCCTTCAATCCGGAGTGTTGTTAATGGTCTCTGCCTCAGACCTGGAAAAAGATACTTATTTTTTGTGCTCCTATTTGAGTTATTTATAGGTTGCAGACTGCAGGAATGATGCCTTTTCTCATAGACGGTAGTATCAGATCTCTGGTGCTCTCAGACTTCTAAAGTTGTCTTCCATTCATAAATGTACATTTTGATTAGAATATGACATTTTCACCAAGATCGAAAACTCAAATTGTCTAAAATTTCAATTTAAGACATTTATTCTGTTCAAATTGAAGATGAATACAGTACCTTGTAAAGAAATTATGTGCATCCCCTGATCTTTGTCATAAATGTCAGTTTATAGCCACAAACTTTAATGGATAATGTGATAGACACAGCACATAGGCACAGCACTGTGTACATCTAGCTACCTTTGATTGAAATTACAGCTACAAGTCTTTTAGGAGTAGTTCTTTACCAGCTTTGCACTTCTAAAGACCGAATGTTTTGCTCATTCTTCTTCACAAAGCAGCTTAAGCTCATAGATTGGGTGGAACAGCATTTTGCAAGTCCTCCCATGCATTCTTTATCTGCTTTAGCCTGGACTTTGATTGGGCCATTTTAAAGCACAACTATGCTTCAACTAAACTAGGTCTGCATGATACGGCAAATAAATTAAATTAGGATGTTGGTTTTTATACATTGTGAAGACCATGTGGGCTGTGCTTAACCATCATGTCACTCTTGTGCTTCCTTTCCCTCCTAACAGTGATGGGTAATTGGCAAGAACAAGATCAGGTGTGGTCAAAAGAGAAAGAAAGTAGCCAACTAGCCAGCTAAATTCTCCTGTTGATCTGATTATGGCTCTTTATATTGTGCAGCTCTAAATAATGACTCACTTTAACACCTCTGCAAGGTTCCTGCCTTATATAAACAGGACAAATCCAAAACCTTTACTTGTTTGTTCTTTTGACATATTTTTGATGCAGGGAAGCTGTGGTTGTTTAAAGACTGGCTACTGTTCAGTGGAGCAGCAGTCCTGTTTTTTGGAGGCCGCAGTGGGTGAAGCTGAGGGCGCTGGCCTGGACATGACAAGCTGTTAGACTTAGTCCAGCCAAGCTTGTCAACACATTGTATGTGTGTGCAGGGGTGTTTTTGTAGGTGTGAGTCAGGGAACATGATGTTTTCAGATCAAGATGGGTGACACCAACGGTGAAGCCCACGCTGGCCTTTATGTGAGGGTGGATGTCTGTCCTAATTAGAAAAATGTCCTAACTGACATCCCCCGGAGATGACATGGAAGGTGAAGATGGATGGGAGGATGGGAGGAAATGTACAGGGATATTTTCATAT